TTTATTGGAGACAAGAGCCTCATGGAGTTTTCTGCCTGGGCTGGCTCTGAACCATGATCCATAGATCTCAGCCTCCTAAGTAGCTAATATTATAGGCATAAGGCATGGGGGCCTGGCATTTGTCAGATTTTTTAATGACATAAAACTAGTAACTAAACCAAAGTTCTCTTAAGAATTTGTTTATGTCAAGGTCCTTCAAATGAATACTTTTTAACCCCAATGCTATTTTTTTGCTGTCTAATATGTCTGTTTCCCAGTCATGTAAGCCTCCTTGGATACAGAGCTCCTGTAGCAATTATAATCAGGCCATTAGAGGAACAGACAGCTTTTACAAGTTTGTCACATTTAACTTCAATTCTTAATAAGTTCCAGGTAAGCTCTGCTTAAAACTATTTCTACTGACACCCTTCTTGCTTGAATTGGAAATAGAAAGGGGTTATTGGCACGGACTCTCAGCCAACCTGTTAGTCACCTCTCTCAAATGTGGGATTCAGCCAATTGGGACATGTCAACCTAGCAGCAAGCAAAAATGCTACCTAGGATATTATTCCAGCAAGAACAAGACAGCCACCAGAACAAAGCTTGTGTAAGCAATGAAGGATATTGGCAACAAGGGATCATCCAGGGATAGTTGGAAAAAACTGCTCAGAGGAGAGGTGAGGGTGTCAGATCCTGAATGGAGTCACTTTGTGCTTGTCCTTTCAAAAGTAAAGCCAGGAGGTCATTCGAAAATAGCTCATAAGCATGACTATCTAATGCCCATACCTGTCTACTTTGTAATGGGGCCATAACTTACACCCTTACCTATTAGTTGTAATAGTGGGTAGTAAAATGCTAGGGTTGTCAAATGGGAGATAGTTCAAAGTTAACAAAAAGCCCATCCCCCAGTATCTGCTAAAGGCACTAATAGGCAGTACATTTTTGGTCTGGTACCAGCCACATGAATCCATCTGGTCGAGGAAAGAAGGTAAGGCTGGAGTGTTAGTAGGTCAGGACCCTCTTCTGGATACCTGGGCAGTTGGGCCTAATAGACCTCACGCACTCATGTAATGAGGTCTTAGTAAACGTCTATACAGATTCCAATATGCTTTCTTGGTATTACATATCCATGCAGACAAAAAAGGAGGTTTGTTGGCTAATGAGAACTTCCCAAGAAAACATGGATCTGAGTTTGTGTCCCTGTTAAAATGCTGGCTGGAAACCTTCACTGGTAACAATTATGTATCATGAGGGTCAAAGATCAAGTCCCCCAGTCAGACAGGAAAAATGCTTCTGCAAACTGGAGATCTAAACAGGTTGCACTAACAAACCTGCTGTAGAAAGATGGCTTTTACGTTCCTTCAGATCAACTTTTACCTAGATAGAAGGAACCCTGTGCAATTCTTCTCAGTACTCCTACAACTATAACTCATTTTTGTGATGGGTGCCAACTTTAACAAAGCCTGCAAATCTGCCAAAATTAAAACATAGGTAATCTAAGTCTGTTTTCCCACTGGTATGATTACGTTCCTCTGCCTCCATTCCATCTGCTGGCTTGAAGGATATTTCCAAAGAGTTCTCTTTGTTAAATCCAGAGGTAAAAATGATAAGACAAGCTGTCCTGCAAAATAGGACCCCTTTAAACATCCTTCCTTTGGCCCATGAAGAAATCTGCGCAGTTGTAAAAAGTTAAATGTTATATAGCACTTTGGTCTTAGCTTTAATGAGCTCTTTACCTATGTTTTTCTGGAACCACTGGATGAAAATTTGCTATTTTTCTTTTTGGTATTAATATAATGGGAGATACTGATTTGTTGTTCCTTATATTGTTTCTGTGGTTTGTTACCCTCCCTAACTTTTCATATGGTTTCAATTCATATGGTTTCAATGCTCCTAATGACAGCTGATCTTGGAAATCTGACAACTGAATTTCTCATGACACCCCTTGGTTAGAGAGCACAAGACTTCAGGTCTCTGGCTAGACAGAGGGACCGAAGTCATTTTTGGGGGGAAAAATGAGGCAGGGTAGATAGTTTAGAAAAGATAGTCATGGGAACAAAGTGATGACAAGTACAGATTCCCTGGAGTGTGGAGACCTCACTTATGAGAGATGGTTACAGGCCCAAGCCTTCTACGTCTTCCCAGGAAATCCTAGTGTTACTGGAGGAAATCTGGTTACCAAAAGTCAGCGCCAGGGCATCAGAAAGGGGATTCTGCAGTAGTAAAAGGAAATCACACAGCTGCTGCTACTGCCTGAGAAGCTGCTTTAAACAAGTGCGGCTCCTAAATATTTTATGGACTGCTACTGACCCCATCCAAGCAGGTGTACTCAGAGGAAGAACAACATCTAGCCAAGAAGTTGGACGGAGAACAAAATGCTGAAGGGTGGTGGATCTTGCCAGACAGTAGGATTTTCTTACCCAAAGTTCTGGACAGAATTTTGAGCAACCAGGTGCAACAAGCAACTCCCTGGGAAACAACTAAGACTGTGAGCCTTCTAAAGGGACACTACTTTGTTCCTAAATTAGAACAGATACCTGAATTAATAGCCTCCAGGTACTCTGCTGTGCTCAGGTCAACACAAAACAGAGTGAAAAGTCACCCCACCCAGAAGTAAGGACCTGAGGACACACTCCAGGGGAGCACTGAGAGCTAGATTTCACTGAAGGCATCACCCCCACACACATACCCCTTAGGTTACAAATATCTCCTAGTTTTCACCAACACTTTTTCAGGATGGGTAGAAGCATTTCCCATGAAACAGGAAACAGCTATGGTTGTGATTAAAAACTTGGTGTACTATCGATAGGATGGGGTTTACTCCATTCAAAATAATGTTTAGAAGAACCCTTCCCTTACTCTCCAGGCTTCACTCTAAAATATCGGCTAAACTTAATAATTGATCCTTACTTACCTTTCTGCAGAACTTACAGGCATAGGTAAATGCATAAACTGGTCTGAGAGACACTGCCCCAGCCACTGCCCAGCTCAGATCCAGCCCATCCCTTCCAACTGGGGATTCCATTTGAGTTAAGAAATTTGTTAAAGAGGGCCTCACTCCCACCTGGAAGGGACCCTACACCATTATCATGACCATTCCCACCATGGAAAAAGTAGACAGGATTCCTGCCCAGGCAAAAACTGTAAAGGGTGGACTCTGTGCACTTTGGGAGAAACTTGTGGTTTTTATGCTGATGCAACAGGTCTAATACAGGAGAGCCTCTCTATGTGAGACAAAACATAGAAACAAGAAAGCAAAGGTTGGAAAAATTCCCAGAACTTGTTCCAAAAATTGTTTAATTGGTCCCCATGGCTAACAACTCTGATATCTACAGTCATAGGACCCTTAATTCTACTTCTCTTGGATAAAATCATAGATCAATGTCTTCTCAATTATTTTGTAAACTTTGTTCAAAATTGTGTTATTTGGTTAAGCTCATGGTCCTACGGGCCCCAAAGCAATGATTTGATTCCTTGTGCATAAGATCAGTGATTTGAAGAATCAATTATTTGATTCCCTGTGCATAAAACTAGTAGCGAATGAAATACGGTATCGGGTCTAAATAATGCCATCTTGTCCTCACCACCCTCTTGGTGTCTTAATAAATGATGAGGACTTTCACCCAGTTCCCAAAACTCTAGAGGTAAGCTATATAGATCCTTCTTTGAATTGCCGACGTGTCATATTTAGCCCCAAGACAGTTTTGTCCCAGAGAATGCTTGCCCTATGTTGCCCATGATTGTTCCCTGAGATAGTTTGGTTTGTTTATATATATATGACACTTTTGTTAGTTCCCCACTCCAATCAAGTGGTTTTTGCCTTTATCAGCTTTGTGCTAGCTATGTTCAGGGCTGCAAGTTTTGGGGGTACATGAGACCACTTTGCATTTCCAGCTTGGTAATAATGATTCCCAATTCAACCTCTCAAAATGTGGCTTCTCTATCGCGTGATCAAATTCTCATATAACACTCTCACTGAGCTCAACAGGTGGTATTTACTGGAAGCCATCATGGAGCATGTACAAGAACAGGCTTAGACATAAATGAACCCATTACCTCTTCTCACAGCTGTCTGATAAGGTGTTGGTTGACCCCAGGGTGTCTACACCAAGTCCCATCCAGACAGTCTAGAATCAGCTAGATTCCCTGGAATAAGACAGTTGGAGGTAGGGAAGCTGGGTCTCAGGTGAGAGTGGCACTTTGCACACATCATCAGCTTCAGGAAGTGCCTCAGGCTCATTTCTAACATGAAGGCCCCTAGTTCCCTACACACTGGTGCCCCCATCTCCCTCCCATGTTCTCCAAAGTCCCATGGCAAAAGTGTGAAAGGTCAGTGTTACCATCCAGTCCAGGATCCCCTCAGTGAGTCCTTCTCCATCCACCTCCCGCTGAGCTGTTCAGGTCGGTGTTGAGAGCTGCCGGCCAGGCTCAGCATCCCCACTCCACACAGGGGAATAGAAGCACCCGGACGCTGCACTTGGGGGCAGGACCAGAAGGCTGAAACCAGGGACTTGAGCCTTGGCTGGCCTGCTATTCTAGACAGAGCCTGGAAGAGCCTTGCCCTGCACTGCCAGCACACAGTAGGCCCTCAGGGTGAGCACTGAGTAGGGCTGATCTGGTGGGCCTGTTCCTCCTTGTCTTTTCCTCCCAGGCCTGAGCTGTTGTGGGGTCTTCAGTGTGGATCTGATCTCTTCCTGCAGAGGCTGAGGAGCACCCCCCCAGGGCCGGGTCTGTCCCCTCCTCTTTCCCAGCATGGACCCAGCCTCAGGTTCCTTCTTTGGGTCTCAGTCCCTTTGGAGCTCAGCCAGGGCCACAGAGCCAGGCCTTGGCCATGGAAGCTGTGGACAATGACCAGGGTGCCATGACTCCCTGAGGTTCAGGGCCGGGCACTGCTCAGGTGAAGACAGCAGCGTGGGAGGGCAGGTGGCTCAGCAGCTAGCCAGTGGACTTAGTCCCTTAGTCTGTTTGCTTCTTAGTTTTGTGAGATGACCTGAGTTAATATTCACTAGCAGCCTCCCCAGACCCCTCTCCATCCCCTGCTTAAATACAGCCGAGGACAGGGCTGTGTTCCTCAGCCTCTGTCTCCGACACCCCTGGCACAGTGAGCTGTAAGTATGCCCACCCTCGGGGAGAGCTCAATGGGCCCCTGGGTCCCAGCAGGCAGCAGGCCTGGGCCCCAGGGAGGCAGAGGGGATAGGGCTGGCTGCAGCCAGGCGAGGTGGTCATGGTAATGCAGGCCCTGTGGTCCTGCCCTCTTCCCAGGCCTCCCAGTTCCTGGGCAGTCTCCTGGTAAGGCATAGGCATGGCAGGAGATGCCCTGTCCCCAGGCCGGGGAAGCCAAGACTGGGCCACAGCAGTGCCTGGGGTCTAAAGGTGCCTCTTGCTACTGACACCACTTCTGGGATGTGGGGAAGGAGGGGGGAGGAGAGTTGCTCTGTGTACAGATAGGGTAAGGCCAGAGGGGATGCCAGGGGCCCAGGCTCATCCCTATCTCATGAGGAAGACCCTCATGGGGCCTCTGCCTGCAGGCCTCCATGGCTCCCAGGTGCCTGGCCTGTCATGTTTGCCACAGCAGCCCTGTCATTCTTCGTGCAACCAGGCCACCCCCAAGCCTTGCTGTCCATGTCTTCTGATTCCACCTTAGCGTACAGAGAAGATGGAGTGCTAGGTTCTAGAAGTAAATTTCTAGGATAAAGTCCTAGCTCTAAGGTACTTGGCTCTGCCGTGAGTTACTGAACCTGCTTGGGCCTCAGTGCTTCCTCCTAGAAGACTGCACGATGAGAACTTGGATGTCCCAGGGTGAGCGCTGAGGGAGGACTGGATGAAGGAGGCGCACAGGGTGCTCGGGGTGGTGGCAGCGCTGGTGCTCCACGTGAGCTTAGCCTGGGGTCAGGAGGCAGACAGGAAATGTTCTTGTGTGGGGAATGTTTCAGGCTCAGGGGTGGTCCACTGCTCAGCAGGAGCTGGTTTATGCCATGGGGAACGGTGTAGGTATCCAGGAAGCAATTGGCTGGGTCTCGGGTGAGCGTTCACACACAGGGTAGAGGCCTCCGCACGTGTCTGTGCCCGCCTGGTCAGGGTCTTGCTTGTGCTGCTGCTCTTCCTTCAGAGGTTCTCCTCCCACAGTGGAGTCAGGAAGTGAGGCTCAGGGAGGCTCTGCCCAGGGGCCAGCAGTGAGAGGCAGGGCGGGCCCACACCAGCGCTTGTTCAGTGCTGGAATCTATCCCACAAGCCTCCTGGCTGCCCAGGACAGCTGTAGGTAGTTCATCCTTTGCTCCTGGATGGAAATGGTGTGGGATGAGGAAGAGGCACTCCCCTCTCACAAACAACCCCCATGGCACAGAAACCCACTGCAGTGTCTCCAGGGTCTTCTCTGAAATGGTGGCCTCTGGCAGCACACAGGGCTTCACAGCTGCCTTCTCTGCAAGTGGCCTCCCTGGCTTCAGGCCTTGGAGAGTCAGGGGCTCCTGCAGAAGACCAAGGAGAAAGCAGGGCTCAGCACTCTGAGGTTTGAAGGAACTGCCTGGGATGCAAATGATCCTGGCTGTAGCCTGATTTCAGCACAAAGGCCCAATCCTGCCACTCAGTTGTTAATGGGAATATGATCACAAGATAATAGAGAAGTCACATTTTAAGAGGTTGAATCCAGAGTCTTTACTAGAAAGCTGGTAATGGCAGGCAGACTCATGTCCCCCTAAAACTTGCAGCATCCAGTATACTTAATTCTGTTAGGATACCGAACCCTGAGTGTACTAGAGTAAAGAGTGAGCAGAAAACAATCTCCACAGACCACATCAACTCTAATAGAGAGTCGAAGAGGGATGCCATCGTGCCCTGAGGAGAGTCAGGAGACACAAGGTATGGCGCAATGGCAGCAGGGGCCAAGAGGCCTAAATAGGGTCATGGTCAGAGGGCAGGGGCACAGGGCGCTCGAGAGATCAGTCTCGAGTTCATGGTCCAGGTCTGGCAGGTGCGGGAACCTGTTATCAAGTCCCGACCCAATGTGCTTCGAGGAATTCGGGCACCTGTCACCTGGGGGTGGGGATGGGAACTGAATTTCACCTCTAGAGTTTTTAGAAAGTCCCCATCATCCACCAAGATGCCAAGATGGCACCACTTAGACCCAGTATGTATATCTGATTCTCCACTAGTTTTATAATAGGGAACCAAATCATTGATTCTTCAGCAAGAGGGCTGTTTGGGGGCCCTTAGGACCATGAGCTTAACCAAGTAACGCAATTTTGAACAAAGTTTACAAAACAATTGAGAAGACATGGACCTATGGTTATGTCCAAGAGAAGTAGAATTACAGACCCATGTCTGTAGATGTCAGTGTTGTTAGCCATGGGGACCCATCAAACTATTTTTGAAACCATTTCTGGGAATTTGCCCACCTTTGCTTGCTTGTTTCCGTGTTTCACCATAGAGAGACTCTTCTGTATTAGACCTATTGCATCAGAATAAAAACCACAAATTTCTCCCAAAGCTGCACAGACTCCACCCTTTTGAGTTTTTGCCTGGACTGATCCTAGCTGCAACCTGAGGAGTGTCCAGCTGTCAGACTTGGCACAGTATGACCAATACTGGTCAGGAGGCTTTGAACTTCAACATAACCAGCGATCCTTTCCCAGGTCAGACTGGCTAAGGTTTACAAACCTATGCATCACAGAATGTGTCACACAAAGTAGGCTCCAGGGAAGTAGTTGATAGAAAAGGTGAAGAGTCAGTACAATGCATAAGTCTTAGTTTCAGCAGATCTGATGTGGTGTGTACCTTCCTTCCTGTATCAGCAGGATGTAGCGGCTTGTGGTATAGCCAGGCAAGAATCCCGTCTACTTTCACCATGGTGGGAATGGTCATGATGATGGTGTACGGTCCCTTCCAGGTTGGAGTGAGGCCCTCTTTAACAAACATCTTAACCCAGATGGAATCTCCAGGTTGGAGATGGGTTTGATCTGAGCTGGGCTGTGGCAGTGGCAGTGTCTCCCAGACCTGTTTGTACACCTCTTGCTGAGTTGTCTGTAAGTTCTGCAGAAACTTAAATAAGAAAGCATTATTAAGTTATCCTACAGTAGGGGCCTGACTTCAGTGAAATCTATTGCCCAATGTCCCCTGGATTGCTTCCTCTGAGCATGCTGACTTAGGTGGCAGATTGGGGTCAGGAACAGTCAATAAAATATTTAGGGCCTCACTTGATTTAAGGCTGCTTCTTAGGCAGTTGCAGAAGCAAAAATCATGTGATTTTCTTTAACTACTACAGAATCCCCTTTTTGATGCCCTGAATAATGTAGCAAGGTGATGATAACACTTGAAGTTCCAGCAGACATCGAAGCTTGAGTCTGTAACCAAATACATCCATTGTTATGTATTTGCTTAAGGAGTTCATATGCCATATAACCTCCTCCAGGCCAGCAGATGGAATGAAGACAGAGGCCAGGTGATCACACCAGTAGGAAAACAAACCCATTCCACCTAGGTTGTCTGGCAGATTTGCAGGCTTTGTTAAAGTTAGCACCCATCACAAAAATGAGTTATAGTTGTAGGAGTACTGAGAAGAACTGCACAGGGTTCCTTCTATCTAGGTAAAAGTTGACCTGAAGGAACATAAAAGCCATTTTTCTACAGCAGGTTTGTTAGTGCAACCTGTTTAGATCTCCAGTTTGCAGAAGCATTTTTCCTGTCTGACTGGGGGACTTGATCTTTGATCCTCCTGATACATAACTGTTACCAGTGAAGGTTTCCAGCCAGCATTTTAACAGGGACACAAACTCAGATCCATGTTTTCTTGGGAAGTTCTCATTAGCCAAAGAACCTCTTCTTTTGTCTGCATGGATATGTAATACCAAGAAAGCATATTGGAATCTGTATAGACGTTTACTAAGACCTCATTACATGAGTGTGTGAAGTCTATCAGGCCCAACTGCCCAGGTATCCAGAAGAGGGTCCTGACCTACTAACACTCCAGCCTTACCTTCTTTCCTCGACCAGATGGATTCATGTGGCTGGTGCCAGACCAAAATGTACTGCCTTTTAGTGCCTTTAGCAGATACTGGGGGATGGGCTTTTTGTTAACTTTGAACTATCTCCCATTTGACAACCCTAGCATTTTACTACCCACTATAACAACTGACTAATAGGTAAGGGTGTAAGTTATGGCCCCATATGGGCATTAGATAAACATGCTTATGTACTTTTTTCTGATGACCTCCTGGCTTTACTTTTGAAAGGACAAGCACAAAGTGACTCCATTCAGGATCTGGCACCCTCACCTCTTATCTGAGCAGTTTTTTTTTCCCAACTGCCTCTGCATGATCCCTCATTGCCAAGATCCCTAGCTGTCAGGACAAGCTTGTCCGGTGGCTGACTTCTTGCTAGGATAATGTCCCAGTTAGCATTTTTGCTTGCTGCGAGGTTGACATGTCCCAGTTGAATCCTACACTGGATGAGGGTAACTGACAAGTCAAATGATAATATGTACCAATAGCCCCTTTTGTTTCCAATTGGAACAAAAAGGAGACCAATAGAAATAGTTTTAAAGTAGGGCCTACCTGGAACTTATTAAGAATCAAAGTTGAATCTGACCAACTTGTAAGAGTTTCCGTCCTTCTATGGGCCTGACTGTAATTGCTACAAAAGATCAAATCTGTAAAGGCAAAGCTAAGTAGTAGTCATGATGAGAGTTTTGAAACAGCCACTGAGTAAACAATCAAGTTAATTTTTCACTGAATATAGCACTTTAGAATATTAATATTGAAATAGTTGTTATTAAGGTGATCCTTTGTTGTTTTAATGTTTTCCTTTCTCCCCTTTGAAGCAAATATTTAAGATACTTCTTCCCAAATTCTTTTTACCCAAAGGAAAATTTTTTTTCTCAATTCCCTTTCCAAAGCCTTTCCTTTTTTATTAAAAAAATTTTTTTGGTTGGTTGTGGGGCTTGAGTTCTAGACCTGGGCATGTCCCTCAGCTCTTCAGCTCAAGGCTAGAACTATGCCATTTGAGCTACAATACCACTTCCAATTTTATGGTGGTTTATTGGAGGTCAGAGTCTCATGGACTTTCCTGCCCAGGCTGGCTTTGAACCCTGATCCTCAGATCTCAGTCTCCTCAGTAGCTAGGATTACAGACATGAGCCACCTGCATCAGCCTTTCCAAAGCTTTTCTTTCATTCCTAACTTCTTTTTTTTATACTCCTTTGCTGTAAGTTACTTTTTTTTTGTCAGTACTCTGGGCCTGGATGCTGTCCCTCAGCTCTATAGCTCAAAGCTAGCACCTTACCACTTAAACCACAGTGCCACTTCGCCTTTTTTCTGCTTATGTGATGCTGAGGAATCGAACCCAGGGCCTCATGCAGGTGAGGCAAACATTCTATCACTGAGCCAACTTCCTAGCCCTGCTTTAATTTACATTTTTAATAACTTTTAAAACCTTTTAACTAAAGTTCCTTTTAATGCAATGTAACAATCCTTTAAAACATTTGTTAACACCTATATCTGATGACCTTCTTTGCAGTTTGAGTTTAAGACTCCCCATTTTCTCCCTAACTTGGCTGCTGGTCACAAGCAACACAGATACTAGTTTAAAATGAAGTAAAAAAAATGATTTTAGAAAATATCAATACTAAAAACGAAATCACCATACAAAACTGAAAAGACTACTTTTTCTTACCTCATGTTGATAGTTTTTTGTATTAAAATACCAGATTATCTTGAACATATTTACACACACACACACACACACACACACACACACACACACACACTTGTGCATAAAGGTCTTAAAGAGCACTTAGGTTTTAAAAAATGAATATTGACTGTATGTTTTCTGGAATTCTAGTGACAAGATATTTTTTGCTGTTAGCAATATAGAACCATATGGTCAGTGTTAGATAAACAAAAACTTAAAAACAAATACTTTGCCAACAAACAAACAGAATCTCTTACTCTTACTGATAACCAAGACCTGGATGTTTAGGTAACTGTGCTAGCATGTCACATTAGCATACAAATTGGCCTTGAATACTTCATAGATGGGTGGAGGAGTAAGCTTGATGGAAGAGTTGGGGTTGCATGAAACTGAACCTTCATTCTATTTTTCACCCATTTTTAGACTAAAGCATTTTACATATCAATTTACACTAGCATTTCCCCAAATCCCTGGGGGGATACATTGGGAAGCAGTGTGCTTACTATGGGAAGAACCATTTTTCTAGAGACAGAACCAAGTACAGTTGGTGCAGGCACTATAAGAGCAGAGTGAGACAAAGAAAAGCTAGTGCCACCATAGAAAGAGAGACTGCACAGAACATAGATGGACAAACAGACAAAATGACACCAGATGTCTTCCAGAGACCAGATGGATGTCCTTCTCTGGACCACCTAACAAGAAACAATCCCCAAAAACCAAATTCAGGAAGACCAGACAAGTTATCTCACCATGAGTTAACTCAGCACAACTAAACCAAAACGCTCTACTGAGGTCTCAAGCCTTGAGGGCCTGTTGGGAGGGTAGTTATCACATCTCATCCCCTTCCACAACAGTGCAGGAAGATGGATCTCCAGAAACAGAAGCAGAGAAAAAGAGAAACACAGACTTACCTCCAGAGGTCTCAGGCATGTCACCTGCTGTTGGGTGGAGGAAGGGCTGCAGGGCCCTGGAATATCTCTGGTGGCACTTCTACAAAATTTCCCATTCTCTGGCAGCCCTACCACTGAGGCTGTCCACTGGTGGTTAAAGGAACCCAAGTGTCTGCCTTTGGTGCTAGGACCTCTCTGGTGCCTCCAAATGTTATAGAGGAATTTGAACATGAGATACAGAGAAGTCACATTTTGGAAGTCTTTATTAGAAAGCTGGTGACTACAAGCCAACTTATGTCCCCCAAAAAACTTACAGCCTCAGATGCACTTAATACTGTTAGGATACTGAGCCCTGAGCATACCAGAGAAAAGAAAGAGCAGAAAACAGTCTCAATAGACCAAATGAATTTTAATGGAGAGTTGAAGAGGGACACTCTGGTGACCTGAGGAGAGTCAGTAGACAAGGCATGGCACAATGGTGGCAGGGATCAAAGGGCCTAAATAGGGTCTTGGGTAGGGGGCAGACAGGTAGCTAAAGACTTCCAGAAGTCTCTCTAGTTCATGGTTCAGGTCTCATGGGTCTGGAACCTATTGTGCAAGTCCCTCCCCATCTGCTTCTAAGAATTCAGGTGCCTGTCATCTGGGGGTGAGGGTGGGGAAGTGAATTTCACCTCTAATAGTTTTTGGGAAGTCCCCATCATTGACCAAGATGCTAAGATAGCCCCACTTAGACCCAGTATCCATATTTCAGTCTGTGGTCAAGGGCAAGAAAGTCAAGGCTTTGTCCAGCTTTGTCCCTGGTCCTCTGGGTGGTCTTGGCCAGATCCCATCCCTCTCTGGGCCTCAGACCCTTCACTGAAAATAGAGGACAGCAGATAGGACGGGACCAGACCCTGGGAAGGTGGGCACGGGTGTAGTCACCCCAGGTGGAGCAGCCAAAAGGCCACAGGGCTCTGGAATAAATCAGCTGGCGCTTCTCCCATGGAGTTTCCCATTCTCTGGCAGCCCGACCGCTCAGGCTGTCCATCAGTAGTTTCTCCACTTCCCCCCCAGGCCAGCCATGCCTCCTTTCAGCCCAGCAGCCCCAGCAGGGGGCACCACATCTCATATCCTCAAAACATTCCACTCCAGCAAGCTGAGATACCCAACTTTGTCCACAAGGCCCTGGTCATTTAGGCCTCTCTGGGCCCAAGCCATACCACTGAGAACAGGGATGACTAGCTCAGAGCCTGGTGGACCGTAGTGGCCCGGTCCAGGTTAGAAGCCAGGATCACTCAAGGGGTCTTGTGCTCATTCTGTAACAAGACCAGCTCTCTGTGGTTAGTGAGCCCTGTGGAGGGAGGAACTTTCCACAGAGCCACACCAAAGTACAGATGGGCAGTAACAGAAATTAAAGAGAGGTGGGGAAATACAGAACTAAATTTAGCACCATCTCAGCTGGCTAGTTTAAGAGAAATATAAAAATGTATTACACAATATGTGGTCAACTCTTTTGGGATTATTAGAGACTTGAAAGCCAGCAAAAGAAGGAGGAAAAGGAGGAGGAGGAGGAGGAGGAGGAGGAGGAGGAGGAGGAGGAGGAGGAGGAGGACAAGGAGGACGAGGAGGAGGAGGAGGAGGAGAAGGAATGAGGAGGTGGAGGGGAAGGAGGGAGAGTAGGAAAGTGCTAGGAAGGAAACAGCTCTGTGCTTTGCTTCATAGTCTTCCTGTAAAGAAACTTTTACCATATAGACAAAACTGAACTCTCACTTTTTATCAACATTTTCCCTGTAGGTTATCACCGTCCTAATACTAGGGACCCATAGAAGTATTTAATATTAAGACCAAGATGGGGATTTTAGTTGTGTGAAAATAGTAAATGGTGGGCTACAGGCAATTCTCTGTCCCTCTTACCTCTGTTTCCCCATTGTAAAGAGAGCAGATTATAGCCAGGTAGTGGCAACTCATGCCTGCAAACTGAAGACCTGAGGATCCCACTCCAAGGCTATTCCATTCCAGAAAATTCGACAATTTTATCTAGACTTAACCACCAAAAAATTCTGGAGATGGAGCTGTGGATCAAGTGGTTAGTGCATCAGTGCACAGCAAAAAGAAAGAAAGGAAGAAAGGATGAAAGGAAAAAAGAAAGAAAGAAAGAAAGAAAGAAAGAAGGAAGGATGGAAGGAAGGAAGGAAGGAAAGGAGGGAAGAAGGAAGGGGAAGGAAGGAAGAAGAAAATGCTAAGGGACAGTGCCCAGACCCTGTGTTCAAGTACCAGGACTGGTACCAAAAAATAAAAGTGTATGAGCCGGGCACTGGTGGCTCATGCGTATAATCCTAGCTACTCAGGAAGTTGAGATCTGAGGATCTCAGTTCAAAGCTAGCCTGGGCAGGAAACTCCTTGAGATTCTTATCTCCAATTAACCACCAGAAAACTGGAAGTGGTGTTGTGGCTCAAGTGGTAGAGCACTAGCCTTGAGCTAAAGAGCTTAGGGACAGCACCCAGGCCCAGGGTTCAAGCCCCACACCAACCAAGAAAAAAAGGGTATGTGTGTGTATAGGTGTGTATATGTTTGTCGGGGGGAGGGATAGAGACAGAGAAAGAGAGAGAGCGCAAGTCATATATATGTGGGTGCAGTCTGTGATTCAGGACGTGTTTGTATCTGAAGCAGAGGGAGTTTGTGGGACAAAGCTGACTGTGCTCCTGGTTGTGACCTTGACTGTGACCTTCCCAAGGCAGAGTTTGCTCTCAAAGGCTCAGCCACAGGCCATGCCACTCCTGAATGCCTCATCCCAGTTATGAGACACACTTCCTTCTCCTGACTGCCCCTGCTGGTGGGTGTTCACCCATACCAGCCCCTGACACCAACCATAGCAGCCCTCCTGTGAAGATCTGGCTGAGTGCTCCCAGCTGGCCCCCTGGACACAGAGGCAGAAGGAGGACCAGGGAGTTTCCAGGACTGGTCCTGGATCAGCTTCCTCCTGTTTAAGCACAGGACAGTGTCAGGTTCCCCACAAGGCTGTGACAAGCATGGAGAACTCCAGTGTGATAGGGAAACAGAGTGGGGCAGGTAGCACTACTGCACATTGTCTATAGCTTGCCTCATCTTTGCTCAGTGGTGATAATGAGACCCAGGCAGGCTCCATCCAATGTCTGATGCACCGAGGTGCTCTTGGATGGTGTCAAGGAGCCGATGGGGTGATTGTGGCCCTTCCTTGGGGCTGAGTTCTTTTCTCTGTCCTGCAGGACAATGCCGTCCTCTTTCTCCTGGGGCTTCCTGCTGCTGGCCAGCCTGTGCTGCTTGTTCCCCGGCTGCCTGACTGAAGATGTTCAGGAGACTGCTGCTTCCCAGCAGGACCAGGAACACCCAGCCTTTCACAGGATTGCCTTGAAGTTGGACATGTTTGCCTTCTGCCTGTACTGGAATCTGTTCGAGCAACCCAACATAACAGATTTCTTCTTCTCTCCTGTGAACATCGCCGCGGCCTTGGCCATGCTCTCCCTGGGCACCAAGGATGCCACCCACTCTGAGATCCTGAGGGGCCTGGGCTTCAACATCACAGAGATGCCAGAGGCAGATGTCCACGCAGGCTTCCAGAGCCTCCTCCACACCCTCAACAGGCCCAGCAACCAGCTCGAGCTGACCACGGGCAGCAGCCTATTCATCAACGAGAGCCTGAAGCTCCTGGAGCCATTTTCAATGGATGTGAAGAACCTGTACCAGTCAGAGGCCTTCACCATTGACTTCACTGACCCCGAAGAAGCCAAGAAGCAGATCAACCAATACATGGAGAAGGGAACCCAGGGGAAAATTGTGGATCTGGTGAAAGACCTGGACAAAGACACTGTGCTTGCCCTGGCGAATTACATTCTCTTTAAAGGTAAGGCTGCACAGCCAGCCCAGCTGGTTCCCATGGAAACATACCAGTCAGTGCCCCCAAAGGGTTAATTGGGAGGCCGATTCACAGAGGAGAAGAGGCTCAGTGAGCAGGTGCCAAAATATGACTGGTAATCCAAACTCTCTTTGTAATGCTCCTCTTAATAATCATATATGCAAATGCAGGTGTCCCCTGATCAGCCAGGAGGGCACCCTCCCATGTGACACAGAAATTCCATGTCTCCTCTTGTAGTAACTCAGTCCCCAGGGTGGTCAGGATGGCTAAGCCCAGGTCTCCTGTGCTTGACGCAGCTGAGCTCCAAGTCTCAACACAGACACCAGGGTCTCCTGGATCTCCTGCCCTCCCTTAATCTAAGCCCAGCCACCTGTGTTCCCATCCAATCCAGGCAAATGGGAGAAATTCAATGCGACGGATGTCAGAGTCAAGGCGAATCCCCAGGTTAAACTGAAGACACAGTTCCTGTATGGCGTAATGCAAATGCATTATTGCAACACGCTGTCCACCTGGGTGATGCTGACGGACTCCCTGGGTGATACTGCCACCGTCATCATCATGATGACAGGAAACAACGTGCAACGACTCATGGCCATGCTCCTCGTGGACAGTATTGACAAGTGTCTGAAGAGCACCAACGGAAGGTGACACCTCAGTCAGGGACCAGCCCCCAGCCTACAAGAGCACAGACCTCTTAGCCATGTCAGGGATGGTTGAACTCTCAGGACAGGACAAGGGAGGTATTGCCAGCCCTTGGCCCTAGCTAAGGGTGTGACCTTGTGCTGAAAGACAAAGCCAGTGCTCAGTTCAGGGAGAAGCAGCAGGGACCTGGGAAGAGACAGTGCCAAGAGTGGGAAGCCCAGGGCTGGGAAGGTGGCTCAGTGGTAGAGCGCTTGCCTTGCATGCACAAGGCTTTGGGTTCGATTTCTCAGCACCACATAAGCAGAAAAAGCCAGAGTAGCACTGTGGCTCAAATGGTAGAGCACTTGCCTTGAGCTGAAGAGCTGAGGGATAGTGCCCAGGCCCAGAGTTCAGGCCACATGACTGAAGAAAAAAAAAAAAAAAACAAGAGTGAGAAGCCTGTGCTCTGTTCAGAGACGTCCTCCCCAGAGGACAGACCTTCCCCAGACCCACTGTCCAGTGCAGGGGCAGCATAGCAGAACAGGCCACAGCACCAAGGTCTGTGATGGGTTGAACTCTGGCACAGTGGACAGTGGACTAAGGCAGAGAGTCCGGGATGGCCATGGGAATGTCTGGCTGCAAAGGCCCAGAACATGGAAGGCCAGCAGGAGACAGTGCTGGACACTCAGGCAGGAGGCTCCACGGCTCTGACCCCAGACCAGTGGTTTATCCACTCCTAGGTGTCCATCACCCTAGAGCCTGGCCCTCGGGTCAGCACACACTGGTGCATCAGCAGTGAACAGGGCCTGCTGCACGGAAGAGTGGTGAACGCTGTGAGACACAGAAGCACAGCAGACACAAGGCAAGGCCGACCTTGAGCAGAGGGGTCACCACTGCCTCAGAACCCGTTGTAGGGTCTGAGGGCCAGTAACTAACAGAGGCCCAGCCTTCAGCATTGGGGATCATTTTCTCTCCTAGATGAGAGGTGGACAGCACTCCGCTGTTTGTGCACAGGTCCCCAGGATATGAAGTTCAGGAATGTCCCTGGCAGAGGACACAGGTCAGGATGGCCCTGACTCTAAGACATGAGGACTCCACTGGCACTGGGCATAGAAGAAACAAGATTGTAACACACTAAGGAGCTTCTATCCTGCTGTGGATGGAGCATGGGCACTGTGGGTAGAAAAGCCGGAAAAGAAGCCAGCCTCCCATGGCATTCCTGGCACATTGGGAGAGATGCTGAAATCCTCCTTTGTGATCTTTCCCTCATGGCAGAATTGAACAAATGCGCTTGCCCAAACTGTCCATCTCTGGAACCTATGACCTGGAGCCGGTCCTGAGCGCGCTGGGCATCTCCACGGTCTTCAGCAATGGTGCTGACCTTTCCAAGGTCACCAAGGATGCCCCACTGAAGCCCTCCAAGGTGAGGTCACCCGATGAGGGCATTTTCCCAGGTGGCTTATGGGTGTTAAGTGGATCTTGGGGTTCATAGCTGGGGCACAGGGCTGAGGAAGGGGCCACATCACCACTAAGGTCCAGGCTGAGCTCTGAGGGCTCGTGAGAGGGCGGGTGCAGGAGACATGGTGGGAAAGGCGGCCTCCCATTTGGCTCATGTGGTGGGAAACTGCTCAGAGGTGTCTCTCAGACCCTCACTCTCTTCTTCATCCAGAGCCCAGGAGTCCTGGGGCTCATTTCTCCACTCAGTTTAGAATTATTGACCTCAGAGAATGTTCTAGAGTTTTCCACAGGCACCATCTAGAAGGGCTGTTTCACTACCAAATCTAAATTAGAAACATCAGCTCCTCCCAAAGCCTTTTTTTTGTTCATAAAAGAGAAAATACCGAAGGACATGAGTGCATCACGTCTGCACACGGTGGGAACAGGGTCCTGTGAAGGTCACCTTCAGACCTGTCCAACGAGCTCCCAGCATTCAATGAGGGGGAGCCACGTGCAGGAGACATGGAGTGCAGGGCGTCTCCACTCTGAGCTCCGGGTGGGAGAGACGAAGGGAGCAGCCAGGTGAAGCTAGGGTTGGACAGACAGAGGCCTGTGCGGCCAGTGGTGAGGGTGGGTGGGCAGCAGGACTTTCCTGCTGAGACGCGCTAGGGAGGCCGTCCCTGGAGCTGTCGGCAGCGTGGGTCTGGGCTGGGTGGTGTGCAGAGCTTGAGAGCACAGGTCAGAAGCCATCTGCACATCTCTCCTGCAGGCTGTGCACAAGGCTGTGCTGACCCTGGACGAGAAAGGAATCGAGGCCGCAGCGGCCACCTTCTCAGAAGCCATTCCCTCGTCTCTTCCCCCTGAGGTGAATAATTCCCTGCCATTCTTAATTACAATCTATGATAAAAAGACTAAGATTCCTCTCTTCCTGGGCAAATTTTCATACCCTCCACTGCTGTGACCTCTCTAAGCAGGTCCTTCCTTGATGGCATTAAACACAGGCCAAGCTGATCCAGGCCTCATTCAGCATAACCTTTGCATCTGTCACGATGTGGTCTCTGTGTCGTCCTTTGCACCCGAGAGCTTGTGTGGACTCCAGGTCCCCAGTCCCTCACTGTCCTTCACATTCACGAGTCCCTGGGCTGGGCAGGCAGGACTGGCACAGGACCATGTCAGAGACCTCAGTCCATGGCCCTGAATCCATCTAACCCTAGAACTGCATTTAATCTGGGAATTCTGGGGTCCTCTGGCTCAGACACCAGCGTTAGGCCCAGGATCCACCACGTCCCAAGTCCCTGTGGGAGTGCTCCCCACACCCACTCCCTCCCCACAGCCACTCCCACAGAGATGGCTGTGCCACCCAATGCCACCCTCTGTTCCCAGAGCCTCCAGCCCAGCCTTGGTGTCCATGCTCCTGTCCAGCCCTGGCATCAGCGGCTGTCTCTCCTGCCCCTGAATTGGAGAAGACCCTATTCCCTCTCCTCCCCTTGTCAGCTCAGTCCTGGCCTGGACTCCACATCTGTTAAGCATAGCCCAGGGAGGTGGGCAGAGCCTTCACTCAGCTCTGTCCTTGTGATCCAACTGGTGACACTCAGCTACTGAGGCTCTCACCTCTTCTCCCCTATGGCCTCTATCATGGCCACTGTCATACTACCAGCTAACTCAAGTCCCACTTGCCAGACAGTTACCAATGGGGGCACATCGGCCATGGAAATGGCTGAGGACTGATAAGCCTCTAACAAGAAGAGAATCAGGGGATGGGAATAATTGAATTATTATTCAGTCTTTTACAGGAAGGAAGGCAGCAAAGGTTGGGTTATTGTTCTTATTTCAGGATAGAATTGTTCATTGCCATTGGACTGTTTGCTAGGGACTTCATTCTGTCTTCTATCTGGGAACAAACAACTGAGGGTGGAGTGCCCAACCAAGGCCATTGTGTGTGTGTGTGTGTGTGTGTGTGTGTGTGTGTGTGTGTGTGTGTGTCCGTGTCCGTGTCTGTGTCCGTGTCTGTGAATGTATAGGTGTGGTTGTAAGTGCATACTTGCCTGCTGTGTGTGTGTATAGGCGAAGGGGTGAACAACAAGGAAAAAATAGGTCAGCTTTTTAAAGAACTTTAACTGCTATAGTTGTCTTTCCATAGAGCCTTTTAGAAATAAAAGGGAATGTCCAGGCTCCACCTTTCAAACTCTTTCAAAGCCTCAGAATACTTCATTCCCAGATAGTTGTATTCAAGTGCAGTTAAAAACAAACAAACAAAAAACAAACAGCTCCTGCCCTGGAGGCCAGCAGAAGGCCTGATTTCACCAAGCTCATTTAGAAGCACTGCTCATTTCACCAAGCTCATTTATAACTAGTCATTTTGAAGACAACAGCACTGAGGCACAGTGAGATTAAATGCAGCTCATTGCAATGCAAAGACACACCGGGACATGGGCAGTGCTCCTGCAGGTGCTGCTGGCTTTGCAGCCTGAGAGGACTCAGGAGTCCCAGCCTGGTCAGGTTCAACTGTCTTCCTGACAAAGGGCACTCATTGTCATGAGGCAAACCCACTGGGGTAGGGAAGGAAGAGAAACGGAGAGGCAGAAGGGAGAATGAGGTAAGGGCTGGGGTTGCTCTGGAGGCAGGTAGGACTGCGGGCCCAGATGTGGTCCTACTCCATCTCCCCAGTGTACTGCAGATGTAACCTTTGCCATGGAAACCCTGGCTTCACAGCAGCCCTCTCTGTCTCCTCTTCTCTGTGTCCCACAAGGCGGTGATTGACATGAATGAGAAAGGAACGGAGGCAGGGGCCGCCTCCGGCCTCCTCTCCCAGCCCTCGCCTCTGAATGTGACCTGGACACCACATGCCCACTTCAGCAGGCCTTTCTTGCTGCTCCTTTGGGAGGTGACCACCCAGAGTCTACTCTTTCTGGGGAAAGTGGTCAACCCGGCTGCAGGGTGACTGTGATGAGGGCCAGGGGTGTCTTTTCTACCCAACTGAACAGAAAAGCCAGCCCCCACCTGTGTGGCGGGACCCTTGCAGGCCAGAGCATAGTGTTCCGATTCTAATAAAGCTGGCATTGGGTCTGTGAGCACGGAGGATCTGCGCTGAGGAGGAGGGCGCTCCCCAGAGCCGCTTCTAGCCATTCGCCCCAGCACCACCTCACCCCTGGCACTAGATGAGACGAGGAAACACTCATGACCCAGCCCCCTCTTGCAGATATCTGCTGAGTGTCCTTTGAGTAAGGGACACTGTAAAGACACCAGGGACCTGAGGACAAATGAGCGAATGCACTCTTCTATGGTGTCATCACCAAGACGTTGAGAACTGGATCACTGTGCTGGGTCAGACGAGTGCAGTCCTAGGGCAGCTAAGGCAAACGAGAAAAGAGCATCAGAGCATCAGAGCTGAGCCACTCCAAAACCAAGGGAAGTGTGAGGCCAGAAGGGTGATAAACGTAGGACAGAATGTGGCTGGTGGGTGCATTTGGGCTGTGTTCTGTGGAGATGGAGCCCCCTTCAGAAAACAGAAGTTCAGCACCCCCACACAGGCATCTGTAATGAGTCAGGGCACGGGTGCCAACTTAGTCATGTCCCATATGCACGCATCTGACACCTCACATGCACCTGAAATCTCCCCTGTGAAAATGACCCCGGGAGCAAAGGGTTGCTAGCTGTATGCTGGATCTTTGAGCATGGAGAGGAGATGATTTTATTCACTGAGTGTTCAAAACCAGGATGTTCTTCAGATTCTAATAGAACAGGAATCTGGAAGCAGACATGCTCTACTCCAGTTCAGACTCCAATCTCTCTAGCAGTTCTCCAATGGCAGTACGCATAAGAACTGTGTGCTAAAAGAACATGGATGAGCAAGGTTGGTGATTGTTGGCTGTGACTTTGAACCAAGATCCTTCACGAAACCCTGTGCACTTGAGTAGGGGTCCTTGCTGCGACAGACCAGCTCGGCCGGAGCACTGGGACCAACGAGACAGGGATCTCGGGATAGGTGGGCAAGGAGTCGGCGAAGTGACAAACAGACACAGACTCAAATGATTTGCATCTGAGTGCATTTTTATTGAGGAGAATTAACATTTTTATACATAGATTTTTTGTGACATAGATTTTTTGTTTATTTAAGCACGTAATCAATTTTTTAAAAAGGCAAAGCATTGATGAATTACATGAAAATTGATGACTATCCCACCAATTGTTTGAGCTAAGTGGTGCGAAACAAGTCTAGCATATTGTTTAATAGAATGCGTCATCTATCCAGCCTTTTTATGTTTAATAATTAAACCTAAGGCAGGGCTGTACTTATATTGTACTCTTTTTATTTTTTCATATATTTTCAAGTCCCTTTGAAACCATCCTAAAAACCACTTTTAGGTTAAGTCAGGCATTCTTCATTTCCTATTATTTTAATCCCAATATTTATACACATAAATTTCTAATTGTTGTTTTAAACTATCTTATTGTTGTTTAAATAATAAACACCATAATAATCTAGATCTACCTAATCTTTGTACAAAATCTAATGAGTTTCAAAATACTCTTTTTTTTTCTTTTACATTTATCCAACTACTTTTATCTTTATAAGCTCCTGTATAAGGAAATAGTTCATCAGTTGGTTCAGGAAATATGATGTCACTAACTTTATATTTTGTGTGAAACCACCATCTATTCCCTATAACGTAAGTTGGACTAAACTTAATCATAACTGTTGGGGGAATCTTTTTTTTTTTTTATAATCAGAGGTCCCTTTTTTTTAGAACTCTCTGAACTACTGGGATAACTCCTTCTAACTTAGTTTAATTCATTGATTTTGTCTGTTGTGACATATCTGGAAATTTTAAGTTTCTATATTTACTATGCGTGAGCCGCAAAACTGCTTGTGAAGTTGTAGGAGTTTTTGGAGGCAGCATCACATCAGATGACAGATTGATTGGGGCATTGCCCACATTTAATCTTTGGTCCCAGTCTTTATTATTTAGAGAAGCCGTCTCTATTGGACTGGAAAGATACAACATGCTCTGTTTGCGGATCAATAGAAAAATAGCCATAACGAGAATAAAGGCATCGAATGTACAGCCAAGATTATAGTAAGAATAAAGGTAGAGGCTATAAAGGTGCAGCCAAGTGTATGGGAAGCCTTGAACCAACACCTCCTTCCTGCAGGCATGCTTCCTTGAAGCTCTTTGTCTAAAGTGTCTCTCACGCAGACTCCGCAGGAGGTGGCGTGGCACCTTAACATAAACCAGGGACCCAAGAATCCTATTGCTCTAAAGTCCAAACGCAAACATTGGGTCTTAACACCAAGATGTGATCCCACACAAAAGCCAGTGGCAGGTGGGAGATGAGGGGAGGTAAGGAGAGGGAGATGTGGGAGAAAACAGAAAGAGATTATGGTTACCCCACACCCACACTGCAGGAGCTGTGGTCCAGGTGAGAAAGAAAGCTCTCCCCAGGGATCTAGACAGACAGACCTACTAATGATGTCAGGAAGCAATTAGCCAACTGCACGTCACCCAGAGATGGGGCAGAGACTTGCACTGACATTTTAACCCTCTGAGTCTGTAAAGTTCCCAAATCTGTGTTGCTAGCACAGCTGTGGGCCAGTAGTGTGACTGTCTACAAATGATGAAATAACACCAGGGTGGCCGGGTCTGGGAAGTGCCTTGGCTTCCACATGCCCGTTACAGAGTTATTAACGAAACAACATTGAAACTCAGATTCTGCCATCTGCCTTCCCAGCCTCATATCGAAGAGGAGGCATGCTCCTCACAGCCATTCAAATCCAGATAACAGGAATCCTCACCTACCTTTTACCACACACCTTTTACCTGGAGAGAAGCCTTGAGAGGAAAAGATGTCGGCCTTCCCCAGAGTCAGGCGCCCTCTGCTGGGTACAGAGCGGCATTGACCTATCCCTCTCCCTGTAGACTGAGTTTTAAAAAGGCTTAAAATAGTCAGATATAACACAAAGCATCTGTAACCCTAGCTACTACTCAGGAGGCTGA